TGACATAACTTACTGTTTTAATTCATCAGAAAGGTGTTTAATTCTGAAATTCAAACCGTGAATTTCATGTAAAAATACAATTTTAAAACGGATTTTTTACATTTTACTATTTATTTTGTACTTTTTCTCTCAGTCTGTAGTTGGCAGCTGGAGTAAATCCTAAAGTTTTGTTCCACAGGAAATGATTGTCTTGTCAAACAGAAGACATGTAGCAGATAAATAAAACTGGAGTTTTAGGTAAAAACCAACAGTCTTCCTCTCAGCTCCAAACAAAGTGATGGAAACTGTCAGGCTGAGAAATAAAAAGAAAAAAACACTTTAATCAAAGAAGAGGCACTACTTTTKTCGTTTTTCAGACTTCTTTATCCAGATTAATCTAGTATTTCATTAATGAAATGTTGTTCAGTGAAATTCCTCCTGACACACAGATCTGGTTGCTTAAAATGAGTCRTTCAGACTTGAACAGAACGTGCTGGGTAATGAGACTGTCTGTCCAGAGAACTCAGCTGTAAACTGAACCCCAGCCTGGAAACAGATGAGCTTTAATTAGATACGACACTCCCTGCTCTGCTCTTAGAAACTTATTGATTGATTTTCTTGTGTTTGTTTCCTGTCAGGATGCCGGCAGCCTCAACAAGAAACAGATCTGATGTTGGTCGGTTTCCATCTGTGACTTTTGGTTTCGAGGAGGAAGCCGAGGAAAAAGAAAAGCCAGAAGAAAGGGATGAAAAGCAAGAAAATGCTTGCCAGCAGTGGCTCCGTAAGGCGTGTAAGTGCTGCTACCGTCAGCAGAGTGAGGACGGTGTGGCTGTGACTGTGGACACAGACATAGATGATCCTGAGAAGGAGGACGGAACTGAAGAAGACAAGCCCACTAATCTTAACGGTACTTCAAGAACACATGAGTGACAGCAYAATCACTGTTTTAAATTAATAATTAAACAAGTACAATCTACTTTAATTCATTTCCTTATGTTTTAAATAAATGAATTTTATAAAAAAGAAGAACAGATTCTCAAAGCTAAACAACAGGTTAGTGTGTGTGTGTGTGTGTGTGTGTGTGTGTGTGTGT